GTGCCGGTTGTGCTGCTGCTGCTGCTGCTGCTGCTGCTGTTGCCCTCAAGCTCATCGAATTCTATCAGACAGGGCTACCGGTATCCTGCTGCTGCTGCTGCTGCTGCTGCTGCTGCTGCTGCTGGTGCAGTTGGTGCTGCTGCTGCTGCTGCTGCTACTTGTGCTGCTGCTGGTGGTGGTGCTGCTGCATTAGTTTCTACTGTTTATGAGTTTGGTTTTGTTGCTGCTGCTGCTGCTTGCACCCAACAGCAAACCCAGCAGCAGCAGCAGCAGCAGCAGCAGCAGCAGCAGCAGCAGCAGCAGAAGTATGTGTGTGTTGCTGCAGATGACGTTTTTTGCTGCTGCTTTCGGTCCCCTTGCTGCTCCTCATCTTCGCGTGCTGCTGCCTGCTGCTGCAGCAGATCCAGCCTATGCTGGGGGTGCTGCTGCTGCTGTTGCTGCTGCAGCACATCGTCTTACTCAAGCCCCAAACAGCTGCATGCAGTTGCTGCTGCCGCAGCAGCAGCAGCAGCAGCAGCATCAGCAGGAACAGGATGCAGCAGCAGCAGCACAACCGGCAGCAGCAGAAACAACAGCAGAAACATCAGCAGCAGCAGCAGCAGCAGCAGCAGCAGCAGCAGCAGCAGATGAGCCTGTAGTGCTCCACCCGCGTTTTGTGCTTCTAAATGAAATGCTTCCTTGGGTGAGATAATTAGGGTTTAGGGTTTAGGGTTTGGGGTTTAGGGTTTAGGGTTTAGGGTTTAGCGTCCGGGGGGTTGGTGCTGAGGCAGTGAGGGTGGGCCCTCCTCTCAGCTGGCTGCTGCTGCTGCTGCTGCTGCTGCTGCTGCTGTTGCTGGTACTGTTGCTGCTGCTGCTCCTACTGTTACTGTTGTTGCTGCTGCTGTTGCTGCTGCTGCTGCTGCTGCAGGCGGAAGCAGCAGGAAAGGCGATGCGGCGGCGGGTGTATTGTATGTTAGTTGAGGAGTGGCTAGACAAACCCCTCGTAAACCCTAAACCCTAAACCCTAAACCCTAGAAATCCTAAACCCTAGAAAACCCTAAACCCTAAACCCTAGAAATCATAAACCCTAAACCCTAAACCCTAGAATGCTGCAAACCCTAACAAGCCCCTAGTTGTCGCTAAGCTCTACAAACCCGTAAACCCTAAACCCTAGGAAATCTTAAACCCTACAAAACCCTAAACCCTAAACCCTAAACCCGAGAACCTCTGTGGCCCGTGCAATGCGTAAACCCTAAACCCTAAACCCTAAACCCTCAAGCATGAAGACAACAAGATTGCAGCCCTTCACAACTGCTGCGTCTGCTGCTGCTGCTGCTGCTACAACTCCTACTACTGCTGCTGCTGCTGCTGCTGCTGCTGCTGCTGCTGCTGCTGCTGCTGCTGCTGCTGTGGGTCCCCGCAGGATGCCTTTCGGGAGCACTGCGGTATTTCTTTGCCTCCCCCCCGTTTGCATTTATACTGCAAATAAATAAAATAAAATAAAATAAAATAAAATAAAATAAAATAAAATAAAATAAATAAATGAAATAAATAAATAAAATAAAATAAATAAAATAAATAAATAAAATAAATAAAATAAATAGATAATAATTCGTTTTGGTTGTTATCGGAAAAACAATAACTCAGACTTGTTGTGCTGCAGCAGCAGCAGCAGCACATATGTTGCTGCTGCTGCTGCTGCTGCTGCTGCTGTTGCTGCTGCTGCTAGGAGACAAACCCTAGCTGCATCGTTGCAGCAGACAGAGACAAACCCCAAGCAGCAAGGGGACAAGCCCGGGCCTTAGCAGCAGCAGCAGCAGCAGCAGCAGCAGCAGGTGCAGCAGCAGCGGGGGAAGTCGCTGCGTCCGCTCCTGCTGCTCCTCCCGCAGCAGCAGCTGCAGCAGCAGCAGCTGCTGCTGCTGCTGCTGCTGCTTCTGTGTCAGAGTATATGCGTAAAGGAGGTACCTGGGGGGCCCCCCTGTCTTCCTCTTGGGGGCCCCTCCTGCACTGCCGCTGCGGCGGTGGGGGCCCCTCTGGGTCATCGTCTGCTTCTTCTTTTACAATTTTTGCTGCTGCTGCTGCTGCTGCTGCTGCTGCAGCTGCAGCAGCAGCAGCTGCTGCTGCTGCTGCTGAGTCGGCAGCGGAACTCTCGGGTGTCTCCTCTTTGAGCTCCAGCAGCAAACGCAGCGTCGATGCCTCTACAGATTCTTGTGAGCCCGCTGCTGCTGCTGCTGCTGCTGCTGCTGCTGCTGCTGCTGGCGCTGCTGCTGCTGCTGCTGCTGCTGGTGGGTCTTCTGGCTGCAGCAGAGGCCCAACCTGCTGCAGCAGCCTTTGAGGGGTTGCCTTCTCCAAGGCCTGCAGCAGCAACAGCAGCAGCAACAGCAGCAGCAACAGCAGCAGCAACAGCAGCAGCAACAGCAGCAGCAGCAGCAGGAGTATGCATGCAGCTCCCTCGCTGTCTTTACTTTTTGTATGAAAGGAATTTATTGTTTTTTTATATTATATAAACAAAACAAACAAAAATAATTATATTTATTTTTATTTTTATTTTTATTTTTATTTTTATTTATATATATACTCATTTATATTTATAGTACTTTATGTATAAGTTATTATATAATAAAATAAAATAAAATAAAATAAATATAAATATAAATATAAATGTAAATACAAATATAAATATATAAATATAAATATAAATACTAATATAAACATAAATAATAAAATAAATTATTATTATATTTTATTATATTTTATTATATTTAATTATATTTAATTATATTTAATTATATTTTATTTTATTTTATTTTATTTTATTTTATTATATTTTATTTTATTTATTATATTCTATTATATTATACTATATTTTATTTCATTATATTTTATTATTTTATTTATTTTATTTTATTTTATTTTATTTTATTTTATTTTATTTTATTTTATTTTATTTTATTTTTCAATACCTTCTCAAGCCAAGCGAAGAGGGTCTCCTCCTCTATCTCCTCAGCTGTCTTGGGGGCCCCTGCATCTGCTGTTTCAGGGGCCCCCAGTCCTTGCTGCTGCTGCTGCTGCTGCTGCTGCTGCTGCTGTTGCTGCTGCTGCAGTTCATGGGGGCCCCCTAGGGGCCCCCCTGATCGCACCAAGGGGGGCCCCCCAGCATCCCCTACCCGAAGCGATGCCTCCCCTGCACTGTACCCTGCTGCTGCTGCTGCTGCTGCTGCTGCTGCTGGGTCTCCCGCTGCAGCATGCATGTCTGTTTGCTGCTGCGGCATGAGGGGCCCCATGGGGCCCCCCCCCATATGGGGCCCCACAGGGGGGCCCCCTGGGGGGCCCCCCAACCACTCAGCTGACATACCCTGCATAGCAAAAGCCTCAGGGGGGGGAGGAGGAGGCATACCGGGGCCCCCCTGAAGGTGCATGTGCTGCGGCATGAACATGGGGGGCCCCCCTCGGGGGTGGGGGCCCCCCAACTCCATACCCATGGGGGGGGGGCCCCCCATCTGGGGGCCCCCCATCATCCTCGACTGTACCTCTCCCCCTGCAGCAGCAGCAGCACCCTCGGGGCCCAAAGAGGGGCTATGGGGGCCCCCAGCCCCCCTCATGAAGGGGGGATGGGGGCCATGCATATGCTGCCCTGGGGGCCCCCACCATGAGGCCCCCCATGGGGGCCCCCTACCGGGTCAACAAAGGGGGGCCCCCCGCTTG